CCCCTACAGGTTCCGCACCACGCCCCCACAGCGCGACGCCCCATACATGGACACCGCCGCGCCCCAACAGCGCGACGCCCCGCCCAAACGGGAGCCGAATCACTCCCCCACCGTGCTACGCCCCGTCCATGCAGGGAACGCACCACGCCCCCACAGCGTGACGTCCCGCCCACACAAGGTGCACCGCGCCCCCACGGAGCGACGGCCCGCCCATACAGTGACCGCACCACGCCTCCACCGGACGACGCTCCGCCCAAACAGAGCCGCGTCCGCGCACATTTGGAGCTGTGCTCCGCCCTTTATCCAAACCCCATCCCCTTCCCAGCACGCCTTCTCACAGACCCCGTTCCCTGCCACGCCCCTATCGTTAGCCCCGCCTCTCCATCCCCGCCCCTTTCCAGCCCCACCCACGCATGCTCGTCTCAATCTATGGGACGGCGAGCCGTTGACAGGTTCGCGCGCGCGACCTGTAGTGCGCGTGGAGGGGAGTCGAGTTAGATTGTATGTATTTATTAATATTAATTTTTATTTTAAAAATACTTTTGGGATTGATTACTCTGCACTGACGATTTGCGAGCACGATTTACGGCCTATGTACCCCATCAGTTTCATGCTATTCGTCAAAACAGCGAAGAAAATAGAGCAAATTGCCGAAGACAGGGCTCCTTTTAATTTCCTTTTCCTTAACAATTGACTTTGGTAAACTCCGACCTGGCAACCTTTGAGAACGCGATATTCGAGATTTATTTTTCATCTGGCAATGTATTGAAGCTTCACCTGAAGGGACAAGGGCAGGAGATATACGGGAACATCAGCACCTGCAAGTTCCCGTCCAAGCCTCTCACTACCCTGACATGGAAACATAGCGCTGTTCCTTCAGTGTCATTCGGCCAAAATTCTGGAGCTTCCTAACAAGTGGATTGACTGCAGTGGCTTAAAAAGCAGCTCACCACCAACTACTTTCTTAAGGGCAATTAGTGATGCATTATTAATGCCAGCAATACTACTACAAATGCCACTAGAATCAAGTTTGTCAAAAAAAAATCCCAGAAAACACATTTCTGGTCCTCAGGACTTATGAAAGGTCTTAGGTTCTGTGGACTAAGGAAGAAATATTGGCCCAAGGATGTTCCTTTGCACCCCAAACACTCCCCCAAACTCCTGTTTAAAACAAGTAAGGAACATATTTCTGTATTTGTCATGAAACGTTTTTGCTAGTGTCTCACTTTTACTACAATTGTCAAATGAGGGCTGTGCTATTCATAAACTAAAGAAAATTGGCATGTATATAACATCCTTCAGATCCCAAGAATAAGAGGTGTTGAAGTATTTGATGTGCATTTATTGTAATAGATGGAATGACAACATTCTGCACAGGAGGCATAGAAATTGAGAAAGGACAGAAACTTGGAGGTAACCTTTCGACATAGGCAGTGAATTATTCACAAGGTATGGAGTAGAGTATTAGTTTGTTTGGCTGAATATAACTCAGTGTCGTCCAGGGACCTGTGTTATAATCACTGTTATTTCATACAAATACCACTGATTTGGATGAAGAATACTAACTTATATATCCAGGTTTCCAGACGCTTAAATTAAAAGGCACTAACGAATGCAGATGAAAGGAGAAATACACAAAGGGGCAAACATGGATTAGGTGAGTGGGCAAAACTAAAGTCATCCACTTTGGACCTGAGAAAGATTGATTGGGGTACATTCTAAGTGACGAGAAGCTGGGAACTGTGGTTGAGTTGAGAGACTTAGGGGTCCAAATACAGAAAGCAGTAAAAACTAGTGAAACAAAAGTATCTTATCTCTTCATATAAAAATCAAAATTTTGAAATCAATTTTTCAGGTAGAGAGTTAAGGGGTGACTTTTACATTGGTAATATTTTTGAGGGCCTTACTGTCAACCAAAACACACCAATCCTGCAAATTTAACATGGTTCTCAAAGAATCTCCTGACCTCGATCAAGACCTTGGTTGGGGTGGGGGGGTTGGGGGGGGTGCGGCTCGGGGAATGTGCTGAATCTGCACTTGCAATGCCAAATTGGCAAAGCCTGATCCTCTCCTTCTATTATGGCTCTGAGATAGTTGAGGGTAACATTGAGGACAAAAGTCCCAGCCATTCATTTTTATTTACCTTTCAAATATTGAGGGAGCTACTGATTTCGTGATAATGTTGCTGGGCCAGTAATCCAGCGTCCCAGTCTAATGTTTGGGGACATGGGTTGAATTTCATCATGGCAGATGGTTGAAATTTGAATTAATCATAGAGCCATATAGCACGGAAGCAGACCCTTTGGTCCAACTCGTACGCACTGACCAGATATCCCAATCTGACCTACACCCATTTGCCAGCATTTGGCCCTTATCCCTCTCAACCCTTCCTATTTATGTACCCATCCAGATGCCTTTTAAATGTTGTAATCGTACCCATCTCCACCACTTCCTATGGCAGCAAGTTCCATACATGCACCACCCTCTGCATGAAAAAATTACCCCTCAGGTCCTTTTTAAAGCTTTCCCCTTCTCACCTTAAACTTATGCCCTCTAGTTTTGGAATGCCACACTGTAGGAAAAAGACCTTGGCTATTCACCTATTCATGCCCCTCATGATTTTACAAACCATTGTAAGGTCACCACTCACATTTTTGGTGACTCTGTCTCCATTGTTGATTGTCATAAAAACCCATCTGGTTCACTAATGCACTTTCGGGAAGGAAATTCACTGTCTTTACCTGGTCTTTCCTACATCTGACTCCAAATCCACAGCAATGTGTTTGACTCTTAACTGCCCTCAGACAGACTCTTAACCAGTCACTCAATACCAAAACCAATACAAAGTACAAAGAAGTAAGCCAGCCTCAACAAGACACTGGGAATGACAACGTAAACCCAGCCCTGTCAACCCTCTGAAGTCCTCGTCACTGACTTCTGGGGGCTTGTGCCAAAATTCGGAGAACTGTCCTACAGACTAGTCAAGCAACAGCCAGACATTTGAAAGGTCTGATTCCAAGTGTATAATTAATGCCCTGCTCAACTGGCAGGACAGACCCACCGAGAGGTGGCAGTACAGTGGGATACAGTGGGAAGAGAGTTGTCCTAAGAGTCTCCAATGTTTACTTTGGACTCATTAAGTCTCATGGCATTAGATCAAAATTGGGCAAGGAAACTCCTGCTGATTACCACCCATGGCACCAACTACACCTTCACCTGATGAATCTGTACTCCTCTATGTTGAATACCACTTGAAGGAAGCACTGAGGGTGGCAAGGGCACAGAATGTACTCTGTGTGGGGGACTTCAAAGTTGATCACCAAGAGTGGTTCAGTAGCTCCACTACTGACTAAGTTGATTGAGTCCAAAAGGACATAGCTACCAAATTGGAACAGTAGGGAAAATTGCCTGGTTATGTCCTATCCACATGAAGCAGAACAAATCCAACACAGCCAATAATGACCCATCAGTCTACTCTTGATCATCAGTAAAGTAATGGATGGAGTTGTCATCTGTGCTACCAAGTGGCACTTGTAAATGACTGATCTGCTTGATGATTTTGTCTTTGGGTTCTGCTAGGGCCACTCAACTCCTGATCTTATTACAATTTTGGTCTAAACATGGACAAATGATCTGAACTCCAGAGGTGAGGTGAGAGTGACTGCTGTCGACATCAAGGCAGCATTTAACTAAATGAGGTATCTGGAACCCTAACAAAAGTGAAGTCATTGGGAATTGGGGGTAAGGTCTCTGCTAGTTAGAGTCATATCCAGCACAAAGGAAGATGGCTGTGATTGTTAGAGGACAATCATGTCAGCCGAAGGGCAACACTGCAGAAAATCATCAAGAAGTGAAAATGGGGATGCTCACTGATGAGTACAGTGTATAGCACCATTCTCAATTTCTCAGATGCTGAAGCAGTCGGTGTCCATATGCAGTAAGTCCTGGACAATATTAAGGCTTGGACTGATAAATGACAAATATGATAAATGCCACAGATGTATCAATGACTATCACCAAAAAGAGAGAATATCTCCATCGCACCATGATGTTCATTGGTGTCAACATCAATGAATATCGCATTGTCAAATTGCTACAGGTTACCATTGACGAGAAACTGAACTGGACTAGCCATACAAATACAGTAGATACAAGGTTAGAGGCTAGGAAGTGAGTAATTGTCTTTCCAATGCCTATCTACCATCTACAAGGGTCAAGTCAGGAGTATGATGAATACTCTCAGTTTGTTTGGATGGGCAAGCTCAACACAATCTAGGAAAAGCATCCAACTTAATTCACATCCCATCCACTATTCACTTTCGTCCCCACCAATGCACACTGACATCTACATGTGTACCATCTTCAAGATATGCTAAAATATCTCAGCAAGGTTCCTTTGATAGCAAATTCTAAACCACAACCTCAATCATCTGGAAGACAAGGACAGTAGATAAATGGGAACACTACCACCTGCAAGTTCCCCTCCAAGCCACTTATCATTCTGTTTTGGAACCATACTGTTGTTCCTTCACCATCACTGGGTTAAAATCCTGAAACTCTCACCCTATCAATTTTCCTGGTGTCGCTACAAGGACAACAGCAGTTCAAGAAGGCAGCTTACCACTTCCTTCTTAAAGGAAATTAGGGATGGGTAATAAATGCCAGCCTAGCCACTTATACCCTTATCACATGAAAAAATTAAAAATATTAAAACTCATCCACACTCTTCCTGTCCAAATTGACAAATGGGAACTGAAGACAAGCTAAATATTTTTTAATGAAAAAGAACTGAGGTTTTTTTAAGTGATTGTATTATTCTTTGTTTCTGAATTTTCTTTGGGCTTTGACCACTTAAAATTAAGATACACCTTTAAATAAAGTGAATGAAAAATTACAGACTTTTTGACCAAAAATCTTGGGTTGAATTACTACCTGAGAAATACATTTTGCACATGTTTGCACCATAATTTGAAAGGCCAATGGAATAATAGCTATTATTTTAGCAATTATATAAAGCTCTGATTAAACCACATTGTATTGTAACAGATCAAAAGTACTGTTTATGCTGGAAATCTGAAATTTTTAAAAATCCTAGAATCATCTTCTAAACAGCACAATGGGTGTAGCTACACCACGTGGACTGATGCCATTCAAGAAGGCCTCACCGTCACCTTCTCAAGGGCATTTAAGGATGGGCAATAAATGTTGGCTTCAACAGTGACACCCACATCCCATGATCAAATGAAAAAAAACTGGAAATATTCAGCAGGTCTGTGGCATTTGTGGAGTGAGAGGGTTACCATTTCAGGTCAATGGCCTTTCACCTGGTGAAACGTTAACTTTGTCTTCTCTGTCTACACATGCTGCCAGAACTGATGAGTATTTCCATCATTTTCTGTTTTACTCTGGAATAATGTGTTCTGTTCTGTGCATCACCATGCAGGAAAGATATATTGATCTTCAATGCAGTTCAGCACAGAATTTGTTTTCGTTGGTATGCATGGATGTTAACTGAAATACCAGGGGAACTGCTCCATTTATTTTCATCAATTTGAAGTGGTAGACATTGCCTCTAATAGACAATATTTCTGATACTCCCTCAGCACTGCACTGGAGTGTCAACCTAGACCTTCTGCCCAAGTCAAGTGGAATTTGAGTCCACAGTATTCAAAGTTAAGAGCAAGAGCACTACAATTGGTACAAAATTTCACCTTGCTGCATGTTGTTTCTGTTATTACAAACCTGTGCAATAATTTTATTGCACCTTGTAATCTTGATAATGTTATTATTGATCTAATTAAAGTGCTGAAGACAATTAATGAATTTAAAAAAATGTTTAGAATAAGGGAATGAACCATAGAATTGTTGCTGCACACACCTAGATCATTCAACTTGTTGTGTCTATGCTAAATATTTGCATGAACAACACAGCTAGTCCCACTCTCTTGCCTTTTCCTGTAGCATATTTCCCCTGACAAGGGGAATGGAGAACATGGGATATGACCTTAAAGCTGTACCATTCAGAGCTGAAGGCAGACAACTCTTCTCCATTGAAAAGGTAGTGGAAATCTGAAGCTTTATCCATCAAAAAGCTGTTAGGCTGGGGGGTCAAGTGCTATAAAAAGTTCAAAACAAAAGTTGATAGGTTTTTGTGAGCTGAGCACATGGATATTTACAGAACCATGTGGGGGAGATGGATGGAGTTAAGATGCAGAACTGTCATGATCTAATTGAGTATGAGGGGAAGAAATTTGACAGGCCATGTTGCCTCCTCATGTTCCTAGTAAATGCCTACTTGTTGAATTTTGTAATAATTATTGGCTGAGGAGATATAACACAAAGTGAAGCTTCACAACTAAAGGTAATCATACTTCCCTTTATAATTCATATTCACTTTGGAGTAGGATCCTGGA